TTTTTCTTGGTGAAAATGATATGGTAATTAATTTGAGAGCATTTTTGTTGTGTAATTTCGGTGGAAATAATAAAGATTTGGGGATTTGTTGAATGTAAATGGGCTTAATTTTGAGGGCATAAATGAAAGAAATTGATGGGAAAGGGGTTGTGAGCTTTGGTATTTTCAGTTTTGGGGGGATTTAGTTCAAATGTTCAATATTTTGATAATGATTTATGGTTAAAATTCTGAACAACAAGTTTTCATCTACACAAAATCGATATATGTAGATAATCTACGGTTAAAAACATTTGACACCGTCAACGGGACTGTAGTCTTTTCCCTATTCAATATCCATTATTCATATTTTGAACCAAAATAATTGTGAATCTGGTCTCGTATTCCCCGGTCCTTGATCAATCTCACCTATAAATTTAAAAAAAATATAAAAAAAAATAATCAGGAAATGGGTTCACAGACACTAGAAAGCATGGTAGGGTGCGTGAAGGCGGCAGAGAAGAAGTGTCGACCGGCAGACATGCAGGCCTTGAAATGCCCGCGCTGCGACTCTACCAACACCAAGTTCTGCTACTACAACAACTACAGTCTCTCACAGCCACGCTACTTCTGCAAGTCGTGCCGCCGCTATTGGACCAAGGGCGGAACCCTCCGCAACGTCCCTGTAGGTGGCGGCTGCCGCAAGAACACCAAGCGCTCATCATCATCCTCATCATCATCATCATTATCCAAGAAAACCACACTGTTAGACCCGCACCCACTGCTGCCCATGTCATACGACCCCAATGCCGACATCATCGCCCGCCTCCACAAACAGACCGTCCATCATAATCCCAATCCCAACCCCACCCGCCTCTCTATATGGGGGGAGCCCCATCTCTTTCAACCATTTGATGGTGGGCTCCACAATGTGTACTGTGGACCCCAAGAGATGGAGATGGGGTTTTCGTTAGACCAGTTTGGAGGAGGGCCGGTTAAGCCCGATAACAACAGGGGATTGTTGGGTTTCACATGGCAGGGAGCCGGTGGGAATGGAATTGGAAATGGACCCGATCTTGATCCGGGCCGTGCCTTTGGCTCGTCTCCTTGGCACGGCCTTCTCAACAGTCCTCTCATGTGACGGGCTCTTTTTCTTTTCTTGAACGTCTACTTATCGATCGATGTCCGAGAACTCCAACAACTGTCCAAACAATGTAATGGGTCTAGTGAAGTTAGTCATATTAGAAGAAACAATGGAGGCTAATGGGGGTGATATGAGAAGTTCTTTTTTCTTTTCCTCTTGTTTTGGGGTTGTCATGTCTTGTAAGTTAAGGAAAGTTTTAAGTTAAGTGCTATGTTTTTTTTTTTTTTTTGGTTGTCTGTAGTGAGTTGGAGTTGATTCGCTTGAATCTCTTATAATTTGTTTGGTTACTTTTTATCTGTATTGATAATGACAAACTAATGGAATTTGGGACTTCAATTTGTGTTTCTTATCTTACTTTTCTTCTTCACCACTTCTGTAGTTGAAATCAAATAGCAAAAATTAGTTGAAATCAAATAGCCAAAATTGCATTTTTAGTATTGCTAGTTTAACGACGTAGCTTTTTGTCTTTCGGTCCGGTAATTTAATATTGTGCTTCAATTTCAATCCTTTCCTATAATTTAATATTGTGCTTCAATTTCAGTCCTTTGGTACTACAATTGAAAAAAAAAACAATTAAAATCACAACAACTAAGGTCCTATAATTTAAAATTTTGTTGCATTTTTAGTCCCAAAAAACTAAATTGTGTTGAATTTTAAAATTATAAGACCAAATAGCAAAAATGTTCAATTCTTAGCACTAAAAACGTCACTGGATCAAACCAATCGGACAAAAATTGTAATTTTGCCGATCAAATATTATTGGAGTGTGATTAATTTTCATGGATTTATGTATTTGGTATATGTATTGAGAGGCGGCAAATTGATGGCAGTTGACAGTGATGGGAACAATAGTTTCAGTGTCTGAAAACTATGGATGGATAGATAAGATGATGCATCCTGTTTTTAGTTTCTAACAATACGGAAGAATCAATCTGACATTGCTACCACTACAATACAAAAGTAGCAAGGTGGGGTCATAAGCAATTATATATTTTTTAATATTATAAATTACAATTAGTGAAATTATAGCTGTTATTAACCAAGAATTATCACAAGTTTGACAGCCGCTACAAAAAAAACTCTTACATTCCAACGGAAAATTTTCGTTGGAATTTTTTATATTTCTGTTGGCATAACTATTCCAACGGATATTCCTACGTATAAAAATCCGTTGGAAAAACGGCCGTTGGAATAGCAAATATCCAATGGAAAATCCTATAGAAATAAATTCCTACAGCTATTCGAACGGAAAAAATTCGTTGGAATTCCTCAACTATCCAACACTTATTCCAACATAAAATTAAGTTTGTTGGAATAATCATTGGAATTTCCAACGGAAACTTTTGCCGGTGGAATTTTTCGTTTGAATTGTAGTGTTTTTTTGTAGTGCATAGTTTCTAGGATCTAAAATTAAAATAGCTTGAGAAAAATCTTTTCTTGTGCAATTTCTAACTCCAATTTCAAACTTGAAATGGTGACAAATAAGAGCGTGTTGATACAAATATTCGCTCAAAAGATTTCCTCCTTGGTCTGTAGGGGAACATCCTTGGGATTTCCTCCTTTTTTTGTACCATTTGGTGACTTCCAATGTACATTGCAGTAGTTTAATGAAAATTTGATGTTTGGAAAAAAAAATATTCGCTCAAACGATTTTTTTTAATCATAGTGTTGTTAGTTGTTAATGAGATTTTGAATTTCTATTAAAATTATATTTCAAATAGAATAATCAAAATTGAATTGATGTAAAAATAAGAGACAAAT